AGGATGGAATAGAAATGGTGATCCGTATAGTAATAGAGGATGGAATAGAAATGGTGATCCGTATAGTAATAGAGGATAGAATAGAAATGGTGATCCGTATAGTAATAGAGGATGGAATAGAAATGGTGATCCGTATAGTAATAGAGGATAGAATAGAAATGGTGATCCGTATAGTAATAGAGGATAGAATAGAAATGGTGATCCGTATAGTAATAGAGGATGGAATAGAAATGGTGATCCGTATAGTAATAGGGATAGAATAGAAATAGATCCGTATAGTAATAGAGGATAGAATAGAAATGGTGATCCGTATAGTAATAGAGGATAGAATAGAAATGGTGATCCGTATAGTAATATAGGATAATAGAAAGAGTAATAGAATAGAATAGAAATGGTGATCCGTATAGTAATAGAGGATGGAATAGAAATGGTGATCCGTATAGTAATAGAGGATAGAATGAAATGGTGATCCGTATAGTAATAGAGGATAGAATAGAAATGGTGATCCGTATCCGTAATAGGATAATAGAAATGGTGATCCGTATAGTAATAGAGGATAGAATAGAAATGGTGATCCGTATAGTAATAGAGGATAGAATAGAAATGGTGATCCGTATAGTAATAGAGGATAGAATAGAAATGGTGATCCGTATAGTAATAGAGGATGGAATAGAAATGGTGATCCGTATAGTAATAGAGGATAGAATAGAAATGGTGATCCGTATAGTAATAGAGGATGGAATAGAAATGGTGATCCGTATAGTAATAGAGGATGGAATAGAAATGGTGATCCGTATAGTAATAGAGGATGGAATAGAAATGGTGATCCGTATAGTAATAGAGGATAGAATAGAAATGGTGATCCGTATAGTAATAGAGGATAGAATAGAAATGGTGATCCGTATAGTAATAGAGGATAGAATAGAAATGGTGATCCGTATAGTAATAGAGGATAGAATAGAAATGGTGATCCGTATAGTAATAGAGGATAGAATAGAAATGGTGATCCGTATAGTAATAGAGGATAGAATAGAAATGGTGATCCGTATAGTAATAGAGGATAGAATAGAAATGGTGATCCGTATAGTAATAGAGGATAGAATAGAAATGGTGATCCGTATAGTAATAGAGGATAGAATAGAAATGGTGATCCGTATAGTAATAGAGGATAGAATAGAAATGGTGATCCGTATAGTAATAGAGGATAGAATAGAAATGGTGATCCGTATAGTAATAGAGGATAGAATAGAAATGGTGATCCGTATAGTAATAGAGGATAGAATAGAAAATAGTAATATAGTAATAGAGGATAGAATAGAAATGGTGATCAGAGGTATAGTAAAAGAGGATAGAATAGAAATGGTGATCCGTATAATAGAGGATAGAGTAATGGTGGGATGGATAGAATAGAAATGGTGATCCGTATAGTAATAGAGGATAGAATAGAAATGGTGATCCGTATAAATAGAGGATAGAATGAAATGGTCCGTATAGTAATAGAGGATAGAATAGAAATGGTGATCCGTATAGTAATAGAGGATAGAATAGAAATGGTGATCCGTATAGTAATAGAGGATAGAATAGAAATGGTGATCCGTATAGTAATAGAGGATAGAATAGAAATGGTGATCCGTATAGTAATTAGGATAGAGTAGAAATGGTGATAGAATTAATAGAGGAAAGAATGGTGATCCGTATAGTAATAGAGGATAGAGTAGAAATGGTGATCCGTATAGTAATGGAGGATAGAATAGAAATGGTGATCCGTATAGTAATAGAGGATAGAATAGAAATGGTGATCCGTATAGTAATAGAGGATAGAATAGAAATGGTGATCAATATAGTAATAGAGGATAGAATAGAAATGGTGATCCGTATAGTAATAGAGGATAAAATAGAAATGGTGATCCGTATAGTAATAGAGGATAGAATAGAAATGGTGATCCGTATAGTAATAGAGGATAGAATAGAAATGGTGATCCGTATAGTAATAGAGGATAGAATAGAAATGGTGATCCGTATAGTAATAGAGGATAGAATGGAAATGGTTATCCGTATAGTAATAGAGGATGGAATAGAAATGGTGATCCGTATAGTAATAGAGGATAGAGTAGAAATGGTGATCCGTATAGTAATAGAGGATAGAGTAGAAATGGTGATCCGTATAGTAATAGAGGATAGAATAGAAATGGTGATCCGTATAGTAATAGAGGATAGAGTAGAAATGGTGATCCATATAGTAATAGAGGATAGAGGATCCGTATAGTAATAGAAATATGGTGATCCGTATAGTAATAGAGGATAGAATAGAAATGGTGATCCGTATAATAATAGAGGATAGAATAGAAATGGTGATCTGTATAGTAAAGGAGGATAGACTAGAATTGGCGATCGATCTAGACATCACGCGAGTTCCTACATATAGACGTTTCCTTTATTGTCACGTAGTCTAATTAATTCAATAATGGGATCGCCTCTGTTTGCTCACTGGCGATCTATGTTCAAACTCAAGTGTCGGCAGCGACACTTTATTCCTATATAACAAATGGTTCAGAGCGAAGGGGTAAATATTTTTTCAAATGTTTTTTTTTTTTTTCGTTTTGTAACCGTATTTTTTATTTTATTTATTTTTTTTTTTTGTGGAAGAAATAATATAGCAATTTATCTTATATTTTTTTATGTTTTATTTTTTTTTTTTTTTTTTGCAGAAGAAATAATTTAGCAATTTATTCTATTTTTTTTATTTTTTATTTTCTTTATTTTTTTATTTTTATTTTTTATTTTATTTTTTTTTTTGCGGAAGAAATAATTTAGCAATTTATTTTATTTTTATTTTATTTTTTATCTTTTTATCATTATTTTTTATCTTTTTTTTTTTTTTTTTTATATTTTATTTTATTTTTTTTACGGAAGAAATAATTTAGCAATTTATTTTAATGTTTTATTCTTATTTTTTATTTTTCTATTTCTTTATTTTTATTTTTTACTTTTTTTTTATTTTTTTATTTTTATATTTTATTTTATTGATTTTGCGGAAGAAATAATTTAACAATATATTTTATTTTTTAATTTTATTTTTTTAATTTTATTTTTTTTATCTTTTTCATTTTTTTTATTTTTATTTTTTATTTCATTTTTTACGGAAAAATAATTTAGCAATTTATTCTTATTTTTATTTTTTTATTGTTATTTTTTTTTTTTTTTTTTATTTTTTTTGCTGAAGAAGTAATTTAGCATTATATTTTAATTTTTTTATTATTTTATTTTTTATTTTATATTTTACTTTTTTGTGGAAGAAATAATTTAGCAATTTATTTTTATTTTTTATTTTATTTGTTTATTTTTTATTTTTATTCTTTATTTTATTTTTTATTTTTTTTGCGGAAGGAATAATTTAGCAATTCGGATTTACAATTATATAAGCTTAAAAATAATTGTGCATGATGCTTGCATGTCTGAACATTTTATGACATTTGTAGCAGAAAAGAAGTAAACGCAACCGGTTCACAGTAATAATCTAATAAATATTTATCAATTTCTTATGATTTTTGTATATCGTAGCACTTTCTTTTGTTTAATAAAATTTCTTCTTCTTTTTTTAAATATCAACTGTGAGAATTTTGAAAATTTGTTCTGAAACCTACCAAAAATAATTCAATAAAATTCAAAAAATAATTTCATTTTATTTTCCACCCGTCTCCTCCCCGACTCTTATTTGATGCTCAACTAGCCAATGACGTCAAAATAATGCCGGAATAGATCATGCTCGTGAGGTCAATATGGGAGACGGTTGGAAATATAAAAAAAATAACCCATTAATGAATCAGTTTTGAAGAATAGGTCATTAATGGGAATGACGCTGTAGATAATGTCCCAAAAATGCTCCCGATTACCAAAACGAATAGATTCTGTTCAAAGACCTAATCGTACATAATGCAAAGGCTACCGATTTCTTCGGTTGAGAAATCAATCTGAAGGATACTATCAACCGTATTTAACCATCACCCCATCATGTAAACAAGGTACTCTTTTGTATTCATCATCATAACAAATTTGAACGTCATTCAGGACTTTACCTATACGCAATCCGTTATATACACTGATAACAATCTCGACAAAGAAACTCAGATTTGTTTGTAAAGGTTTATTAAATTAAAGGTCTATAAAGTAATCGTAGTGCCAAGTCAGATCTACAAATCCACAATTCGCCCTTGCATTGAGTATTGCTGCCATATATGATCTGGCGCCCCTTCTGTTTGCCTCGCGGTTCTTGATAGGCTCCAGAGGCGGATATGCAATATGGTTGGCCATGCCCTGGCGTCTCGTCTACAGTCACTTTCTCACAGACGCGCCGTCGCTTCCCTCTGTCTGTTCTACAAATACTTTCATGGAAATTGCTCCGAGGAGCTGCATTCGCTGGTTCCCAGACGTCATGAGTTCCAGCGCCCTACGAGGCTGGCATCCCGCTCCCACCCCTTCACTGTCGAAACTCCTAAATCTAGCCGTCTCTTCTACTCTAATAGCTTCATGTCTCGCACCTCCCACCTGTGGAACTCCCTTCTCTATTCCTGTTTCCCTGTGAGCTATAATCTCCAGCTATTCAAGTGTAGTGTCAATCGACATCTCCAGTTGCCTTGATCTATCCACTACCCTCATCCTTTCTTCTATCACTTCTATCTGATCTTGCTATAAATTTTCTGTAACCCCTTGCGTCCTAGTGGCTTCCCGCCTTGCTTGGGGTGAAATGCTTAAAAAAAAAAAAAAAAAAGTCGTCAATATGGTGCCGAATCTTGGGTCATATACCAAAGCCATCTACGCCTGCTTGAAGACTTTCACCAGCACTGCTTGCGTTCCATCAGAGTGCACCGGAGATAATTTTTCATAAATTCAGAAATTTCCAAGAGTGCAAATGCCTCCATGATTAAAACATAGCTACATGATATACAACTACAATTGGTTGGTTATCGTGGAAGTAAGATCATTGTCTTCCAAAGACCGTAATGTCCGGTGAGCTGAATGCTGGTAAAGCAAGAGAGAAAAAAAGGAGCACAATGAAAGAGTTAGTAGAATTCCTTATGTAAATGCCCTGGATCAATGAGTCAATCTCGTGAAGGTTAGCATCAGCCATACCGATGGAAGGCGAAACAGGTTCACTCAGACAATTAAAGGAGAGCAGCGTTTATATAACAGAAGCACCAGAGCAGATGTGCAGTCATATTCAGTGTAAGGACAAATGGTAGATTTATAAATTTGTTTGACAGACCCCGGCGAGAAAAACTGATCTAGCAATTGATTTAATACAATCTTTCCATTTTATGTCATCGGAAAACGTTAGTCCGGTAAGGCGCAATGAGTCACCCTCCTAGAGGTTAGCATCTGCCATGTTCATGAAAGGTGAAAAAACAGTTTTGGGGTTTTTATTTTGGAGGCGTAAGAATTATCAAAATACTGCCTAAAAAAATACTAAGCGACACTCAAAATACTGATTTCTTATTTAGTACTAATCTACTAATTTTTTAGTATAAGTTAGTACTCTGTATAAAATTCAGTATTTTTATTCACGTTTGTAGTCATTAATAAAAAATTATTCATTTTATCCGCTGTATTAGTAGATCTACAAATTAATACTAATCATAATCATTCATTCAAAAAAAAATTTTTTTTAGTATTTTTGTTTTTGGCAATTTAAAAATTTTTTGGAAAATACTAAAAAAATGTTTTTTTGGAATGAATGATTATGATTAGTACTGAGTAATTTGTGACTAAAAATTGTGCAAATTAGTCATTAGTAAAAATACCAAAACAGAAATAAAAAGTACTGACAGATACTAAAAATTAGTAAAAATTCATTATTCTGATCAAAAAATTAGTAATCCATCATTCATTTGTACATCAATGTCATAAAGTGACAGAAAAACAAGAAGGTCAGAAAGAACCTTTTTATTGTTTAAGACTTTAGGTTTTGTATAAAAATAGTATTATACATTGGTATCAAAAAAAGAAGAAAATCAAACGTTTTCTAAATAGAAAATTATGAAGTTAATTTGTATTACAATAAAATAATGAACAGAAACAGCAGAAGCATTATCAATGGGAACACCTCTTGATTCATTGAGTCAATCAGTTTGTTTATACGAGGAGCTGTTTCTGATAATGCTACTCTCATATCAGCATCGGCTTTCAGGCGGGTTTTTTTTAAATTATCAGGTACTTCAATTATTTACCCCCAACTATATAATTTTTACCCCCCCCCCCGGGGTAAATTTACCCCTGGTTGAGAACATCTGATATAGGTGTTTCTTCAGCATCGATACCGAATTAAGTACTGATTACATCTGGAACGCCGTCGAGGAGAATTGATGAAAAATGGTAAATTGCAAAGTTGTTCCGCTTAGTTATGTGAAAATATTAGATTGGTCGTAAATAATTTACACTTTTTGAGAAACGAATATTGTTAATAGCAAAAGGAAACACGTAAAAAAATAATCTTTTTCTTTTTTTTTTTTTTATTTAACCTGTTTCACTTGAAAAAACTCGATCGACAATAAATAAATAAAAGTACGTACTAATTAAAAAGAGAAAAAAACAAACAAAATACACACGTTAGTAATATAATTACAACAATATATTAAAAAAAACATAATCATTTCACCCTAAGCAAGGCAGTAATGCATTTAAAAATGTATGGAATGAAAATGAAAACTGAGAATAGGGAGGATTGAGGAAAAAACGAAAGATGAACGGGGTTGAAGAACACAGAAGATGGCGATTGATGTTGCATTTAAATTTTTGAAGATTGATGTTATCAGGGAAGCAAGGAAACGGAAATGAATTCCACAGGTGGAAAATGCAAGAAAAGAGACCGTTGGAGTAGAGGTGACGGCTATATTTAGGTATTTCAGCAATAAAAGGGTGTGACCTAACTGCCAATCTAGTAGCCTACTTAAATTGATGTATTTGGACCACCGGGGAAAAAAGCTCGCGAGACCAGTTGCCATGGAAACATTTGTAGAAAAGACAAAGGGAAGTAACGTCAGATCGGTGAGAAAGTGACTGAAGTCGAGATGCCTGCGGATTATATTAAGACCAACCAACCATTCCTTTTCTTTACACATAGAAAGCTACCTTTTAATGAGAATTGTTTCAAGTACTTTAAGATAAAATTGGGAGCGTAATCTACACAACACAGAAAATATGTTCTCCCGATACACCGCGATACACTGATGATAATTTATCAGGTGCTCCACAATTGCAGACGCAGATGCAGCAGACTTATGCAAATTAGCAATAAGCTGACCTCTCCTGGTAAATGCTGGAACATATTACGAAATTCTCCTCTCCAAAAGTTACGTTGCCCTGCGTAACGTCACACCGGCATTCAATGATACATGACTGACGATACAGATTATTTTTCCTGCAGTAGGTTGCCATTTCTTTCTGCGGTAGAGCAATTGCCATCGATGGCTAGAATCCGGTCTGTCCTGCTACTTTCCTATAGCTTGGTGGGTGGGAAGAAGTGGCTTCATAGCTTTCCCAAGGGAAAATGTAATGGACTCGAATAGAATTCGAACTCGGCTCTCCGATTCCTCAATCTGAGCCGCTATCCATTACTCCACTGTGCCTCCTCCGTACCATTAAAAATTAAATTAAATTTCCGTTTTTTTTTTTTTATATTTTATTCTTCAAAAACTTTCCAATGACCTGTTGTCGCTTACCAGGCAGCTCTTCCAATCATTTTAAGTAAAATTCCGTAGGTTTTGATGTGAAAAGGTTTTTGATGAACCCATGAATGTTATTTTCATTAAAGAATGTTTACCTCTTTGTAATGTGGCAATAACTCTAAGTAGAAGCTTATGAAGCTTATGAAGCTTTTTTATCTGACTCATTCTGCTTTAGTGCAGAAAAATGTTTATTTTATTGTGATGGATGGTTACAAGCGAGAGGGGAGATGGAATGTGCTTATTCTATTACCACACTCTTCCAAGAGTTTTGCAACGATCAAGAAAGGTAATAAACAGTTGTTTCAAGGTCAGGCGAATATGGTTGGAAAGGAAGAACAGACCAACTGACTACGCTGCAACTGCCGTCCAAAAAACTAAGATGTTGAAGTACACCAAATTTATCCTTAGCTGCCATGTAAGATTAGTCCTTAGGATAATACATTCGTCATTACAATTGGGTCCCTAGAGCGGAAATTACATACGGCTCAATCTAATAATTATGATAAAAATTCCATTAACAAAAGGTGATTTGACATCGAGCTTAACGGCTACAGTTGGCGGCCATTACGCAAGATATTAGTGCATAATTACTATGTCTTCAATTATTATTGCTGTTATAAAGGTTAACATTGGTGCTATTAATAATTTGTTATGTACTATTGATATTAGTACACACCGTCTGTATTTCCCATGTTGGTTTTATAAGTTTTTGTTTCGATACAATTGTTCTATGATTAGTATTATTAGAAATTGATTTTTCACGCCAGTCAAAATATATTTTCCAGCTTTTCACTTTCTTTTGCTTGTGCTCTCTCGTCTGTCAGAGTAACTACGCTCCATATCTGACAAATTTTCTCTTTGTTTACAAAGACGAGATATTTGATCTGGCTCAGTTGTTGTTTATTTATTTATTTATTTATTTATTATTATTATTATTATTATTATTATTCCATTTCTACATGACATGATCACTTAGGATTTATCCGACATTTTTAAACACTGATTGCATTCACAGCCAGGTGGCGCTATAGTGGGAATTCGCTTGTGTATTACAGCTTTTTGCTTCAAATTCTTTTTTCTTTTCTTTTCTGTATAGGTTCGTTCCTGCATTTATTCCGTCCATTTCCCCTTGCTTTCTACTTCCTTTCAGATTTCTTTATTTCTTCCATCTTGTTATTCGTTTTTCTTTCTTTCTTTCATTCTTTTTTTCTTTCCTTCCTTCCTTCCTTCTTTTTTATTTCTTCCTTTCTTCTTGGTTCTCTCCTTGTTTAATTTTTACTTCCTTGTTTTTTATATTTTCTTTTCCTTCCTTCCTTCCTTCCTTCCTTCCTTCCTTCCTTCCTTCCTTCCTTCCTTGTGTTCCTTGCTTTAATTTTTCTCTTCCTTCCTTATTATTTTTTCTTTTTTACATCCGACCTTCATTTCATTCTTTCTTTTCTCTGCCCATTCCTTTCTTCCTTCCTTCTTTTCTTTCTTCCTTCCTTCCTTCCTTCCTTCCTTCCTTCCTTCCTTTTTCCTTCTTTCCTTCCTTTCTTTCTTTCCTTCTTTCCTTCTTTCCTTCCTTCCTTCCTTCCTTCCTTTTTCCTTCTTTCCTTCCTTCTTTTCTTTCTTTCTTTCTTTCTTTATTTCTTTCTTTCCTTCCGTCCTTCCTTCCTTCTTTCTTTCCTCCTTCTTTCCTTCCTTTTTCCTTCTTTCCTTCCTTCTTTCCTTCTTTCCTACCATCCTTCCTTCCTTCTTTCCTTCTTTCCTTTGATTCATTACTTTTGTCCCTTTCTTATTTCCTTTACACATTTCTCTTATTTTCTTCCTTCTTTCTTTTTTCCTTCTTTCCTTCCTTCCTTCCTTTTTCCTTCTTTCCTTCCTTCTTTCCTTTCTTTCTTTCTTTCCTTCCTTCTTTCTTTCCTTCCATTCTTCCTTCCTTCCTTCCTTTTTCCTTCCTTCCTTCCTTCTTTCCTTCCTTCTTTCCTTCCTTCCTTCCTTCTTTCTTTCCTCCCTTCTTTCCTTCCTTTTTCTTTATTTCCTTCCTTCTTTCCTTCTTTCATTCTTCTTTCTTTCCTTCCTTCTTCCATCCTTCCTTCCTTCCTTCCTTTGATTCATTACTTTTGTCCCTTTCTTATTTCCTTTACACATTTCTCTTATTTTCTTCCTTCCTTCTTTCTTTTTTCCTTCTTTCCTTCCTTCCTTTCTTTCTTTCCTTCCTTCCTTCTTTCCTTCCTTCCTTCTTTCCTTCTTTCCTTCCTTCCTTCTTTCCTTCTTTCCTTCCTTCCTTTCTTTCTTTCCTTCCTTCTTTCCTTCCTTCCTTCTTTCCTTCTTCCCTTCCTTCCTTCCTTTCTTTTTCCTTCTTTCCTTCCTTCTTTCCTTTCTTTCTTTCTTTCCTTCCTTCTTTCCTTATTTCCTTCCTTCTTTCCTTCTTTCATTCTTCTTTCTTTCCTTCCTTCTTCCATCCTTCCTTCCTTCCTTCCTTCCTTTGATTCATTACTTTTGTTCCTTTCTTATTTCCTTTACACATTTCTCTTATTTTCTTCCTTCCTTCTTTCTTTTTTCCTTCGATCCTTCCTTTATTTCTTTCCTTCCTTCGATCCTTCCTTTATTTCTTTACAGATTTCTCTTCCTTGTTTTCCTTGCTTCTTTGTTTTATTCTTTTCTCGTCTTCCTTTCCTTTCTTCCTGGTTTGCTTATTTCCTTCTTTTCTCTTCTTCTCTTCCTGGTTTGCGCCTTGCTTATTTTTCTTCCTTCTTTCCATCCTTCCTTTTATCTTTTCTCACTTTATTCCCTACTCTTCCTTCTTTTGTTCTTTCCTTCGTCTCTCTAACCAGTCCTTCGTTTCTTGGTTTCTTCTTTTCTCTTTCATGTGTTGCTTGCTTTTTTGTCTTCCTTCTTTTCTTCTTTCTTTTACCCCTTTCTCTTCCTTCCATATTCCTTGCTTATTTTCTTTTTTTACGTCATTTTTCCTTCCTTTTTCTTCTTTCTTTTATTCCTTCCTTCCTTCCTTTCTTCCCTCCTACAGTCCTTCCCTCGATTCATTACTTTCTTCTTTCCATTATACTTTTCTCTTCCTTCCTTCCTTCCTTCCTTCCTTCCTTCTTGCCTCGCCTGTTACCTTCCTTTTTATTTTTCACTTTCTACCTTACTTCTTGCTTATTTTTTTCTTCCTTCGTTTCCTTCCTTCCTTCCTTCCTTCCTTCCTTAATCTTCCTTGGGTACCAAACTTTTTCTCTTCTTTCTTTTTTCCTTCCTTTTATTCTTTTTTATTTCTTACTCTTTGCTTTTTCCTTCCTTTCTCTATACATCTTTCTCTTTTCTTTGCTTCCTTTCTTTATTCTTTCCTCGGCCTTCCTTCCTTCCTTGCTTCCTTCCTTCCTTCCTTCCTTGCTGCTTTCTTTCTTCTCTTCTTTCCTTTCTTCTTTTCTCTTCCATTTTTCTTCCTTTCTTTTGTTCCCTTCATTCCTTTATCTCACTGTCAGCTTCTTTTTCTATTATTTCTTTCTCTTCGTTAGGTCCATTACTTCTTCTCCTTTTTTCTTCTTTTCTTTCTTCTTTTCTTTTCCTTCCTTATTTCCTTCCTCATATTCATTTATTAGTGGGTTTATATTATTTTTTTCACCGTTTCAGGCAAAGCCAAGAGAAAATAAGGATTTTTGAGTGGAACTCATCTCGTTTTTTGTTGTTTTTTTTCTTCTTCTTTTTGGTTTCATTTTTGAAGCATTTCGTTTGGGAATTTGTTAATTTTTGTTTTGTTTTCTTTCAAATGCATCTTCTGCAAAAGCGACGCATGCGCAGTTATACTTTTCCGATCCTAATTTAATTGAAGTGTTCCGGTTTGGTTTATAACAAAAGAAAATTTTCCAATTTGATAGATAGATCTTTATACCGCGTAGGTATTATAGATTTTATAAACACATGAATGCACTTATTGCTACGAGGCTAAAATGATTGCCAGGCCTTCTCCAAAACGATAAACGTTTTTCTGCCTTAAAAAGTCAACACCTATTAAAAGAGCCAGAAAGGAATAGACAAATGTTAAAAATTGGTAATGCTCCTTTTTTAACCGACGATTCTTCTTCCCAATGATCCACTCTGTGTGCTTTATGATAGCTTGATGGCGCCCTTCTCCTCTCCAAGCTCTTGACCGACAACTGAAGACCACAGAATATGCAATGAGTTGCCTTCGGCCCTCAGGTCTTGAATTCTCCTAGACCGCTTTGCCGGAGAGAAGAGAGAAAAAGAAAAAAGATAAAAAGGGGGAAGTCAAGAGAAAGAAGATGTATTTAGGTTTTACGGAGGAAGAAGAGGCCTGGTATAGTTATAGCAATTTAGGTAAAAAAAAAAAAACAGATTTTAACATTTGATAGTAATTTAAATGTTTAAAAAAATCCACGAAGAAATTAATTTAATGCTTGTTATCAATTTAAATATTTAACTTATTTACAAACAATTAAGGGATTTAATATGATTAAATACTATATTTAAAAACACATTAATAAAAAACACATTAAAAAATATTTAAAATATAAAAGTTTACTAATAGTAATCTTTTAATATTGTAAATGACTGTTAAGGTAACATCTTTATCAGTTTGAGTCTAATTCATGAATGTAATCTGTAACTATTTTTCGATGGGCAATCTTTCTTATTTAAAGTTTAGGTTTCAAATTATGATGGAGTAATATTTGAAGGTAATATTGAAAATTTTTTTTTTCATATATATACCACATATACATTTATGTAAATCTCACACATACATACGTTCATTTACATGTGCAATTACACACATATGTATCGATATATACAGGTACTTATGCATATTCATATATAAATACTTACACATACATTTACAAATATTTACACATATTCATATCTATTTAAATTTGTCCTTAAATTTTACATTTAATGTTTAACGTTAGGTGGTGACTTAAGTGTTTAAATATCAAAAATTTTAATACTTTTACTGTCAAGACTGATAGTTAAGGTGTAATATATTTCAATTTAAATTAAATTATCAATTTAGAATCAAATTACCTCCTGATGATTAAAAATTTCAACCTCACATTTCTAATTGGAGAATATTTAAAGAGAAAGTAATATTAAACATTAATAAAAGAACTGTATGTCCTTCCATTAGAATTCTCTCTCTCTCTATATATATATATATATATATATAAAGACATATCTATACCCATATATACCTATATATACATATATATTCATATTACTATATCCTACATATATTCACACATATTATATATACGAACTCACAAATACTTACATATATATACATATACATATACAGACCACATGCAATCCTATATACATGACTCGATAGATATACACATATACCTACCTAAAATTACGAATACACATATCCACACATATATATATATTTTACATATGCGCCTGCAATAAATATACACATACATATGTATATATACACATTTATACAAATACACATATACACATAAATCCACATATCTATGTCCAAGTCCATCTACACATTTGTATACATACAATTATTTATCCGCACACATGTGTGCATACAATCATTTCCAAATCCAAAAATAACACAATATTTTCCTTCGTATATATTTTTTCTAAATATATTGAGTTAGATTTTGATGGTTTCTATGTCTACATTTAAAAATTAACTCGTTATGGTTCAGTAATATATCAGGATCTTTTGGCTTTATCATTAGGATCTTCTCTTTTATACACAGGTCACATCGGTCTCTGAAATTTATTGGAGTTCGAGCCCTAAAGACGATTTTTCATTTTACTTGTGGGGTTAAGCCGCTCTCCAACAAATCCCAATAATGTTTTGATAGTGTTGTTTGGTGTTTTTAGATCCATTTGTGAAGGACTGGGGATGGTTATAAAAACGTTGCTTCCGATTTCCCGCAGATACCCCTATATATATCTTTTTCTGTTTTATATTTTCCTTGGGGAAAATTGTAGCTTCGTATATCACGCTTTATGCAATGCATATTCCTTCTACTGGACAATCGGATTCTGCCCTGCAATTACATGTAGATGTTTTCTTTTGGTTTGCATTAAGATCCCTTTGTAATTGATTATTGTGAAATTCTCTAATAATTCTGCTATTGTGAGAGCTTATAATCTTTTTTTCTACATTGCTCATGCAATAACTAATTTTTAAATTCATTTTATTAAACATCTTTTTCAGTAGTTCATTTTTACTAAAATGTTTGTCTATTAGCTTTAGGAAGTATTTCCATATATTAATACTAGATAGTTTACAGAAAGGTGGGTTGAACCATATATTTTTCCTTTTCCTATTTTTGGACTTAGTGGATGTGTTATTAATTGATTTATCTATATCATTTAATGTTTGTTTAAATTTACTTTTTAGTAGGGCTTGATTATATGTCGATTTATTTTGGTTAAAAATTGTTTTACTAAAAGACAGTTTGTTTATTCTTGTATTTACTGTATTTGGAATTTGGTTTATAATTGCTTTCGGGTGGTTTGAGTTGATATTTATGTATATGGGCGATTGGTTTTCCTTTTGGAAGGGTTTGTAGGTGTTATTGTCGAGATTAAATGTTACGTCTAGAAAATTTACGATTTTTAGGTTGGATGATATTAAGTTGGTGCAAAAATAATGACGTAATAATGTCGTTTTTTGACGTTAAAAAATACGTCAAAAAACGACATTATTACGTCATTATTTTTGCACCAACCTAATATTTCGATTTTAAATCCCAGAAATTTGAAGGCCTTAATTATTTTCTTCTGTAGTTGGGATGTTAGAAGACCATTGGTATTAGGCATAACAATAAGTCCATCATCCCTGTATAGCCCTACATTTTGGGGGTTAAGGAATCTGCTTAGGATATCTAAAATGTATATACCTATTAAATCTGCTATTTTAACTGAATCAAATGCTCCCATTGGGACATCGAAATTATCTCTGTTTTTTTTTAAAATCCAAGTAGTGTCATTAAGTCTTAGTATAGACTGTCTAGAGTCCATTATGATTTTTATTTCTTCGTCAGTAATTCGAGTATAATTTTTAGCAAAACTTAAGCTATTTTCTAATAAATCTTTAGAAATGGAGGGGTAGAAGTCGATAATATCTAATTGAATAAAAGAAGCTTTATTTTTAGATTTTAGATTTTGGAACCAGTTAATGGCGTCCGATGAATCTTTCCAAAGGTTTAAGGGGTATTTTTTCTCATATAGATGTGTTTATTCTTTTTAGGATATTTTTTAGAAATTATTCCTAACTCTGATTTGGAGGGATTTATTAGTCTAGAATGTAGATTATTTTGAAAGTTGTATGGTTTTAAAAAGTAGGTAGGTGTCTTTTAAATGAGTTGTACCCATTCTATCAGCAACATTATATTTAAATGCGAATTCAGCAGTTTCTCTGTGTATGGAGAATAGGTGTCTAGAGTTATTATCTTTTTTATAAGAGTTAGAGACTTTATTCTGAATATTCAGGTAAGATGAAAAC